TTCCTCTCATTACATAGTGGGACTTAATTCACTTCTCTGGATTATAAATTGGACATAGCAAACCATGTCTGAACGGATTAGGGCATAAGTGATAGCACTTCACTTGTGCCACCAGGTTATCAGAATCTGTGGTTCCCATCCTGGGCACTCTCTCTTGCTGCCTCTTGGAAACCTGCTTTGGGGGAAGTGAGAACTTTAATCTTATTTTCTTCAGTGGCTATACCCTGTAGCTCTGGACAATTAGTTTAATTGCATATTTATGAGAAATCTTGAATGAGAACTACCCAAATAAGCTCTTGTTGGATTCCTTGCATGAAAAGAAAATATGATGTCTGTTTTTTTTTTCTTCAAGAGATACATTTTGGAGTAAATTTTTATGTAGCAATAGGTAACTCCGACAGATTGTGATGCCCTAAAGTAAGTACTGTTGTAGCAAAAACCTAAACCAAGAGAATGACTTCTTAACTGGGCAGTGAATATGAAGAAGAGTAACAGTGAATGACTAATGCATCTTAAAGAAGCTTTACTTTAGGTTTTATTCTGAAATAATTTTGGACTAAAAATTTGCATATTAATGCAGATATTTCCCATGTGTTCATTATCCAGTTTCTATCAATGATAACATTTTATGTAACCATAATACATTATCAAAACTAGGAAATTAACATGACACCATATTATTAAGTAAATTTCAGATGCAACGTGGATTTCATCAATATGTATGTGAGAACACATTTTTATAAAATTTTATCCTGCCCAGATTCATAGAATCACAACCATGTGACTCCTGTGTGTCTCCTTTCCTCCCTTCTGAACAGAGACATCTATAGCAGTTGTCCCATGCCCTCTCTCCCCACTGCATCTCTGTTGGATATACGGGAGGTGAATAAATTGTTCCTTTATTTTATCAAGTCTACAGGAGAAGACCTAAACTCATGAAGCTCTACTAAATAAAGCAAAATAAGGACTTTCATGTAAACTTGAAAGTGATTTTGATTGTGAGATTCTAGACTTTGAGCTGATGTTTTAATAGTATGAAACTTTTGAAGGCTTTGGGAAGTTTGGAGGGAATATAAATAATTTATGGATCACCAGGTGGCAAACAGTGATGACTTAAAAAATATATCCACAAATTCTTTAATATGTCTTCTTTGAGTGTGAGCTGAACCTAGTAAGTYCCTTTATACAAAGAGAAGATGGCAGAAGTGATGGTATGTCACTTTTGAGATTATACAAAGACCATAGTTTCAATCTTGGGTGGTCTTTTCTCTCTCAGATCACCTGCTCTGGAGGAATACAAATAGTGAATGATCCTATGGAGAGGTTCATGTAGAAAATTTCTGAGCTTCCTGCAGATTCTGAGAGGAGAGCCTCTGCCTTCAGTTAAGCTGTCTGAAGTTATATGCCTGGCCAGTGTTGGACTACAACCTTATTGAAGACCCTGAATCAGAAATACTCAGCTTAGGCACTCCTGGATTCCTGACCCTCAGAAACTATGTGAGATGATAACTATTGTTTTAAACTGCCAAGATTTTCACTCAGCAATAGATAACTGATACACACACTGTGCAGTACCCTCCTCTTTGGTATCCTGCTTTGTAAATTCTAGGTACATCACCCTGTGTTCTCAACTCAGCCAGCTCTTAGGGCTCTGGTTTTTCCTCCCTTATGCTGAGATCTGGAACTTCCTCCGGGTAGTAAGCTGGGGAAATTAAACTTATTATTTAATTTACTTATCTTCTCTCATGGGTCACAACTCTAGCATGACTGTTACCCAATGTCTGAATAGTATTTTACACATTTTGTCTGCTTTCTAATTGCATGTGGTAAAAGTTAAAATCTGATCCCTGTTATTCCATTATGGCCAGAACTAGCTTAAGCCTTGATCTCAATTTAAATGTGAATTTTAACAAGAGTTGATATCCTCTTGTAACTCAATGAAAGGGTTCTTTGTATTTTCTTAAACTTATTTTCTTAAACATTTTTTGGGGGAGGAAGGTTTTAAGATTAGTTTTAGGTTGTAAGAGTTTTAATGCCAATGAGTGAAGAGAATAAGAAATGGTTGGAGGCATCAAAGCTGACTTTCAATGTAGAACAGACTGGGTTATGAAATCCAACATGTGAACACCTTGTGCATAAGAACAGTTGGTTCCACTTACTCTGATGCTTCGTCATTCACCACTTCTCCTTCTGTCCTTGCTCTGAAAACACAAAAGCAGTGCTTAGTTGATGCTAGCTACCATCTGGTGACATATRTAGTGACCTGTTTCTTCTCAACCAGCACATTTTTTTTTCCCCCTCAGCTGAATTTTTTTTTCTTCCGCTCCAAGATTGGTAAGGCACACATACAACACAGTTCTGCCTTTYCTCCCCCATTTGACCACACATAATCTACTTACCACTGAATCAGGTTTAGTTCATTCCCTCACATACATACATACTTAAAACTATTGTAACCAATGCCTTATTTGTACATCTAAGTCTCCTCTAGTTAAGGGCACAGATCTTTTCTACATGTCATGTATCTCATAGGCTTATTCTGTTAGCCAGATAAATTATGTGGCTGATAGGTGCAGTGTTACTGCTGTACCTCTGGWTTGAGAGATTGTAATTGGAGTAAAATACCATAAAGAAAACAAATTTCTATCACTTTCTAAAGTATCTTGGAGAATTTCCTGAGAATTTCTACACATAATTAGTGAATTATGCAGAGTGATAGTCTATGAAAAAAATTATGTAAAAAAATCACTCTAACTTTCAAAATTTTGATAGTCTAGTGAGAGAAATAGTACACAGATCATTTCAACTCAAATGGAATATAAAAGTCTTTGAAATAAAAAAATAAATTATAAGAGTATTTCTAACAAAAGGAAGAGTGAATAACAGAGAATCAGGCAAACCCTTCTGAAATGATTAACCTCTACCATGAAGGACCGGTAGGGATTATGCATTATTAGGGGAAAAAATAAAAACAACAACAAAAAAGAAGGATGGGAACTTAACATTGGAAACTTGTGATTTTAAGTATATTTATCTTAATTGTGCATCTCATTTAGTTTTWAAAAAACACAAATTTATGCCAACATATACAAATTAACATGCATTTCTTCTCCAGCTTTACTCCTATTTGGTGGTTGTTAAAATATATGTGAGAAACACCTTATTTAAGACATATTCTGGTGCAGGTGTGCAGGTGTTTTATTGAGACTAGCTCTTGATTTTAAGATTTTGTTATACTTCTTTATAATGAACTGCCTCTGATTTTTGTTTACGGTTAAGTCTGTACAATTGAGTCCATGAAGAAGTATGTAGGGTCCTAAGTGACCCAGGTATTTCTTTAGCATCTGGAAACCTACACTCCAGTTATTCCAGGTTTACAGATTTAACAAGGCAAGTACTGAAGACAGAACCATCTTGACAAACTCACCTAGAGTTCCTTTGTGTTTGTTTTTAAACTCTGGACAACTCAAAGAAAGTATTCTAGGACCCAGCTTATTCAAACAATGGCTTTCCTTTGAAATAAGATCATCTGCCTCCCTTAAAGGCATAGTAGTCACCTTTGACACCAGGAACTGTAGGTAAAACAACAAAGAATGTGGGGAACCAAACTCTGTGCTGGAATTTAAAAAAAAAAAAAAAGATTTGCATTAACTCTCATTTCTAGGTGTCTGACCTAGTGCAGTGGATTCAAATGACAGGTTAGATCAATCATTCTTGAGTCTGAAGTAAACGGTTTGATGTAGCTGAGAGGTATGGAACTGTAAAAAAGGAAGAGGAATATTTGGGGTTGAATTATCGTCAAAGAGGACAAAAACATATTATTGTGCACAAAATAAAGTACCACAAGGAAAACAATCTCACCTGGCCTGGGATCTTTAGAACATAATATTTAAAATTGATTTCCTTAGTCTTACTCCTATTAGGAAGGACTACGTGTGGGTTAGGAAAGAGAGAGAAGGATGGTGGGCAGGACAGGAGCACTGATGAAAGAGGWGCAGAAGATAGGTGGGATTGGGATAAAGGGCTCTGAAATGTCAGGATGTAAGGGTAGTCAGGGTATTGACTGTCCTGGGAACCTTTGAAGCACACTCCTTTACAAATTACATTATCTAACAAATTACAAGAGACAAAGGTGGGAAGACAAATCAAAGCCATTTGAGCTCTGTGCTCAGGTCTGCAGTAAGTTTTGCATTGTGTGTTGTGCAACTGGGGGTAGAAATGGACAAAAGGAGGAGCTTGAGTAAAGGGTGGTAAAAGAAAGCTTTGCTACCTGCACACGCCTCCTCTGTGGAGGCGGGTAAGAGCAGAAGGTGGAGATGCAAATCGGGCCTTCTGGAATGGCCAATCAGAAGTCAGGAGAGGGAATTTGGGTCCCCAAGGTACCCCAACCCGGAGTTTGAGCACGTGTGCGGTGTTCTGGGACCTTTGTCCCGCAACGTCACSCCGGACGGGCACCCCTGGATCCTCTATTGCTGTCCGATCTGCTAGATATTTTTCTCCTYTACACACCACTTTGCGAATCGTGTCTTTTTCACTTTACTCCTCATTCATTCTTTCCCGCGCGGGTGCGGGRTAGAGCCTTAAGCCTGGCGTTCCCAGGAGTGTGTGGAGCTTGGCACACCAAGTTGCTGAGACTGGGGCACCATCCTCCTCCGGTTCGGCGAGGGTGCGAGCMGAGAGCCTCGGCTCGGACAACACAGCGCTCCTGCCCGCACGGGCAGTCCTCCTCATGTCCCTGAGGCAGCACAGCACGCCCTGCGCCTCTCGGCTCTTGGCCGACTGTGCGTAGGTCCTGTAGGACTCTGGCTGTAGCCCGCTCGGCCTTGGAAATCCCTGCAGCGTTCAGAACACAGAAACTAGACTCATCACCTAATTCGCCAGGGAGCCGGGGCGCTGCGGGGCCGCGGCGCTGCCTCCCCCGCTCCTCCCCCACCCCACCCCCTCCCGTGCTCTGGCGGCCTCCGGGAGTCACACAGCCTGCCCCCCCACCCCCCACCCCCGGCAGACAAAGGGCCTGGGCAAATTCGCCGCCTGGCCTCCTAGAGCTCCGGGGAGGCGTCTGCGCCCGCGGTGGATCGCGCAGGAGGCGCGCGCGGGGCGAGAAGCTGCGGCCGCGCTCGCGCGGTAGAGGAAAAGCCACGAGATGCGCCTGACTCACATCTGTTGCTGCTTCCTCCTTTACCATCTGGGGTTCCTATCGAATGAGATGGTTTCAGGTAAGGTCTTCCTTGAGTTTCCAGCTTCCTTTCCAACTTCCCCAGTGGAGATCAAGAAAACACGGGAGGGCAGAGTTGGTGCAACTGGTGCACGGTGAGCAGAGCTCAATGGGTAGCAATAAAAATAAGCGTGCTGATGCCTATGAGGGGTCAAACTCGGAAGCGAAGCGCACTTCTCCCAACCTCACTTTAACCATCTGTGAAATGAGCAGTACCCTCTAGAGTAGTAATGTTTGCAATTGTACATTTACAACGCCTGGAGAAAAATTGAGAAGTATGCTCTGACATATACTTTAGAAATCACTTAAATTGTGCTGGATTCTTTGCACTGATTTTCATCAACAGCGGTCATCAAACTTTGCTGGCCCACTCCCTCTTTCACCCCTGCATCATCGTACTTTCATTCTGAAAATGCTGGGGTCTGTTGCAAAGCATCGGGGTTTGCGAGCATTTCAGAGCTAGACGGGTGGTCTCCATTCTTTTCAAGTGAGCGCCTTGTATCAGTACAGATAGTGAGTCTGGGAATGCTTGTGCTACGGAACCGCCGCACTTTAAGTCCGGTACTTCTGTCTGCCCTGCCTGCAGGACTGCAGTTCGCCCCTGACCGCGAGGAGTGGGAAGTCGTATTTCCTGCACTCTGGCGCCCAGAGCCGGTGGATGCAGCGGGCGGCAGCGGGGGCAGCGCGGACCCAAGCTGGTTGCGCGGCGTAGGGGGCGGCGGAGGCGCCCGGGGGCAGGCTGCCGGCAGCTCACGGGAGGTGCGCTCCGTGGCCCCCGCTCCACTGGTAGAGCCCGCGGAGGGTCAGTCCGAGTCCCAGTTCCGACCTCCCTTGTCGCCAGGAGGTGAGGAGGACGAGGAGCTGGAATCACAGGAGCTGCCACGGGGATCCAACGGTGCTGCCGCCCTGTCCTCGGGAGTCCCGGCCTCGTGGCAGCCGCCGCAGGTCCCACAGCCGCGGCCGTCCCCGTCCCAGTCTCCGTCCCCTCCTSGAGCCCAGCAAGCCGAACAAGACAGCGATGAGGTGTTGCTGAGGATCCCGGCCTTCTCCCGGGACCTGTACCTGCTGCTTCGGAGAGATGGACGCTTCTTGGCTCSGCGCTTCGCTGTGGAACAGCGGCCAAGTCCAGGCCCGGGCCCCACGGGGGCAGCCGCTCCGCGCCCTCCTGCCCCTCCCGATGCCTCCTGCTTTTACACCGGGGCGGTGCTGCGGCACCCAGGCTCSCTGGCCTCTTTTAGCACCTGTGGAGGTGGTCTGGTAAGCGCCTTTACTCCCCAGCTCTCCACCTTCCCTGCTACCTCTTTGCTTTCCTTCCATACAACAAGCTGATTTGCATGCACCTCCTCCTCGTTTTCAATGTATTCCTCATGAATTTTGCCTTACACAGCACCATGCAGGTGTCTGCATCCTTTGCTTCCAATGGAACATCTTCAGGGTAGACCAGTGAATCAGAAGTCTATTGGATATATAAATGGCCTCCTTCTAGATGGTTATACAATTTATTTTGAGTACTATATTAAATTCTGCCTCCTTGTTACTTTTTGCAGGTGTTCAACTTCTTTCTTTCTCCCGAGTTTCTAAATTAAGCCCACCATGAGATGTTTTTTAGCAGATTGAAATCAACCAATCTGTTCACTGCTAACGCTCTTTCGCGTTTGCTCCCCACCCTCAGCTCCTCATCTATTGTCTTACTTTTTTAATGCCTTACTTCAGAGTTGTCAGAACAGCAAGTCTACAATTTAAATACATCTACAACCATACTAGACACCTGTTCACAGTTTCTGTTAGACAGAGTCAGTCAGCTGAAAGCCTGACACTGTTGTCTAATGAATGACAGTGGACTCCAATCAGTAGTCAAAGGGTTATGGGTCTATGACCAACCATTTTCTCATCTAAGGTTTACATTTTACTGGACAATACCTCCAATTTTTCTTTCTTCAATTCACATAGGAAAGTAGCAAGGTTGAGAGCTTTGTTAACAGGCTGTAGGGACTAAGGTGTCAAAGCCACTTACTCTTTTAATGTACATTGTTTGTTTTTTCTCCCTGTGTCTTAACCCAGGGTTTGGCATAATTATTGCCTTCCATAGTTGGCCTTTATTTTGTGTATGTGTATATGTGTGTGTGTGTGGGGGGGAGTTCAGGGAATAAAATATATATAAAATAAAATTTACCACTGGAACCACWTTTATAGCCACAGGTCAGTGGCAATAAGTATATGTTGTTGTATAACCCGCACTACTGTGACCTTTACTTTTGGTTTAAGGCAAAACTCATAAAATATCAAAAATGCCCATGTGATTTGTGGCTTCACTTTGCTGTTCATACTGGGCCATTGATGAAATCCACAAGAACACATCTGAAAGTAACTTGCTCATTTGGAGAAAAACCCAATAGCAATGAAAAGCTGAAAATATTAGCACAACTAAAGCCATGAAATGTAAAAAGATGATTAAAAATCCAAATGAAACAAAACTAGAATTTTTATTCATGTCCCTCTAAGGTACCATAGTCAATTGATTAAATTGCTGGATAGGTACATATTTTACTAGATTCACAGAATGGTGAGTATTCAACTATGGAAATTTTTTAGTATAAGTGAAAAAATTTGGCATGGAAAAATTACATGAAAAGCATTTACAAATGTTTTCTGTGGAACTGATGTTCGAACACTTCACTGGGGAAAACATTTTGTGGGCATTTCATTGTCCACTAGATTTTGGCTAGGGATTAAATAATTACATATAGGAAGTTCCTGGTGTAGTAAGAGCAATAGGGGATAAAGCATTTCACTGTGTTGAAACATGGACTATTGGTCAGATTTTCCAAATGAGCTATGTGCCCTCTCTATATACTTAAGGGACCAGTGCTAAAGTTATGAGTAGGTTTTTCACAGACTGAATAGGAGTTTGACATACCTCCCTGTTTATCATGTTGGCTTTTTGCTCACTTTTCCTATTAGGTATTTATATATATATATATATATATATATATATATATATATATATATATATATGTGTGTGTGTGTGTGTGTGTGTGTGTGTGTGTGTGTGTGTGTGTGTGTGTGTGTGTGTGTGTGTGTATGTCCCGAACTGGGAAATCTTTGTTATTGAGGAAAACTGACTTTGCCAGCATTACAGTATAGCAGTCAGACTTTGAGTAAAATGTTAGGCAAATATCCAAGAAGGGTGGTTTGTTACTCCAGACTGCCATGCCAGCCCCTTATAAGCTGGTGGATTAGGAAAGAGAGAACATGATTTGTTATCTGGACTCTGGTATTGGCTTGCTTCCTGATACTGATAAGTTCTTTACCTCTCCCATAAGAAAGAAGTGAGAATTAGATGATTGAATTAAAAAAAAAAATGAAGCAGTGGAGTTAGAATCCAATTAATTGTTTAAATGTATCCTAGAGCCTATATTAGGATCTAGAATGCCCTGTCTTTAGGGGCCCACAGATGAGGAGTGTTTATATATCCCATGCATAGGCCAGAAGATGCTAAAATGTCTGTGGTATCAGGCCTGAAAAGTCTTATCTGCTAGAGTATTGGCTTTCTCTCTGTGTGTTACAGATKCAAATAGGGAAATACAATAGGCTGAAGTATGTGCAAACACAGGAATGGTAAGGKCGGTGATGTGGCAGTACTCTCGTTGCTTTTTTTTTTTTTTAATTTCCAAGACATTGTAAGGTGTCTAGTTTTTAGTAGGCACTAAGTTGCTGAAGAATAATATATAATGCATAAAGTACTTTATTACATTTTAAATGATAGTTTGTGAAAAGTTAAAATATATATGTAACAAATTTTGTGAAACAGTGAAATAATTATGTTTGCTCACAATTAACTTAATACCTTAAACACACACACACACACACACACACACACACACACACACACACACACAAGTTCTGGGCCAAAGCAAAATATATCAACACCTACTTTGCCTATGACTGAATGCATAGATTATTTATTGAGKATGATAAGAAGTGACTACTACATCTATTACCACATTATTTGCTTAAATTTAGAATTTTATACTTTGGCAATTATTTTGATTAGTTTGATTAAACAGAATCTGGAGACTTGTATAAATTCAGTTTTTTTTCTGTCTCTTCCTTTTTTCCTTTTCCAATTTATCTATCTGCCTGTCTTTCCTTCCTTCCTCCTTCGCTCCCTCCTTTCTTTCCTTCCTTCCTTCCTTCCTTCCTTCCTTCCTTCCTTCCTTCCTTCCTTCCTTCCTTCCTTCCTTCTTCAGGATTTAACCCAGGGACACTTAACCACTGAGCCACATACCCAGAACTTTTTATTTATTTAATATTTTTTATTTTGAGACAAGATCTTGCTAAGTTGTTTAGGGCCTTGCTAAGTTCCTGAGGCTGGCTTTGAACTTTTGATCGTCCTGCCTCAGCTTCCTAAATTGGTGAGATTACAGGTGTGTGTCACCATGCCAGGCTGCAATTTACCCTTTTACCTGAATCAAAGTACTCTATGCTGTGGCATGTTTTGAAGAATTTAATATTTTAGGACCTCCGCTTTGGACGTCACTATGGCAAAAACCAATTTGAAGGCAGGTGTCAGGGCAGGGATGGGGGAAGACAAGTAAATAACAAGGAGAACAAATGAAATTCACATCTAAATGAAAAGGTGAAAATGACTGACTGCATACATGTATGGTCTTCATTCAAGCCATGTTTTAGAAATGATAGAAAAATATTCTGGACAAATCTAAAACACTACTATAAGAGAATGCCATGAATACATCAGACATTTTGAATATCTCCTGAAAAACTGAAAAGAGTTTGGTGGGATTAACACAAAGCATACAGACATAAGAAAACATCTGTGTGTGACGGGAGCTGTGCCAAAATGCTGCTGTACATTCAAGGAAAGAGAATGCAGAAGCAGAATGGAACCACATAGCCACAGTGGAATTTGCCTTTTCTGACATCCAATTATGCCAAGTAGTTATTGAAAGCCACATGTATGTGTCTGTAGGCAAAAGAAGAGAGAATAGAGGCAGGGCTTTCATGGTCATATTGGTGACACCCAGGGTGTATAGAGTCTCCATTCTTAAAGAATGAGCTATTGTCTCCTTGAATGATGTCTCAATGAATGGTCCTATCTGAYTCTAAATAACTAGAGTGAAGTTGAGTAATCTGAATGAGACACAACAGATAGGTGAGAGAGAAGCCAAAATAAATAAATAAACAATTGATWAAAAAATGGATGAGCTAACAGCCAAGAACACTTTTAAGAATATAAATCATATAAAAGATAGTCAGCAAAWACTGGTTAATTATTACATGAGACAACAAAATTAATAGGCTAAATAAAATGCTGTAACAAGACAGTAGTGCTCAGAAGAGGAAKAACAATATATATTCATGGAAAAAAWTTAAAACCTAACAAATTGCTATCCACAAAAATGTTTTGATACAAGGAAATTAAAATTGCATGAATATTAGAATTAAAGTTTTATAGATGAACTGATAGGTAAATTTGTGACCTAGAAGATCAAATCCAGAAATTAATTCAGAACATAAGACAAAGGGCAAATGGATACAAAGTGTGAAAGAACATTGGTGATCTATGATTTATAGGTCAAGATCCAAAATTTCTCTAATAGTTAATGCTTTTTGAAAAATCAGGTAAAGGTAAAATTTTTAAATGCATGTAGTAGTATACCTTCTAGATTGACGAAGTTTAGGATATGAGGCCAAGTTAGATAGATGATGTTCCAGGTGAGCCTTACTCAGTGTATGCTAAAACCAATTTCCAGTATGGGTCTCTGTACTTGACATGAAAAATTTTAGAAAAATGCAAAGCAGTTTATGTATAGAATATTGAATTTTGAAGATTTTCCAGTTGTTTCTTGGTGCCTAGTCTCAAATAAAATTACAGCAATTTTCACAACTTTTTCTTATTTTCCCCAAATTTTCATAGAAACAAAGATGTATTTTGCACTCCTATTTTACTTGCTTTAGAATTTAGTGTTTGATTATGTAATTACAAAATGTTGTGCCTTGATACACTCAAACGAATATAGCTGAGTATTGSTAAATATTCAGGCCCAGTGGTAGGAATAATGCATGCAATAAGACCAGGSAAGAGACTGCTACTCATGAGTGTTTGACATGCTGCAGGCTTCATTGACTTATTTTTCAGGTAGAGTGTAGAGTATTTAATTCAATGATTTGAGTTGAATTAGTTGATACATCCAATATGGGTTAGGTAGAGATTGATACTWTTTTTTTGGTAACAG